TATATTAATTAATATTTATTAATATTGGTAATATTTAAATTTTATTAATATCTACTTATAATTAATAATAATGAGATTTATAATTAAAAATAGTGATGATAAGTTATTTTATATAATGTTTTAGTAAGAGACCGTTTATCCAAATACTTACCCTATAAACGTTTACCGGTAGAAGTTAACACTATAATCTATTTTACTAGATAAAATTGTAGTATATTAAAACGGTATCGTATGTAACAATTTACCCGGTAAACGCTTACCTAGGTAAGAGTCTTCACCTTCACTTATGGAGTAAGACTCTCTATCTCTATCATCGTTTTTACTGGGTAAGATTTTCAGCTCTTTCCATGTGCATCAGGTGAAGAAAGTTACCCAATCCACATTTATCGGGTAAATATTTAATAAACGATCCTTAAGTTAGCTTATGTGTATCCAAAAAAACTGGCTTGTATGCTACTTATTTTCGCCAAACAATACCTAATTCAAGTTGTAACCTTATTCCACTTTTAAAGTTAACTTTAAACACTAATTTGTTATCATTAATATATTTTTATTGAATGTAAATAAATAAAAACAAAAATGAAAATAGAAATCGATGATCTTGGAACCAACCAAACGTACGAACGGCTTCCATATTCCTAAACAATGATTTGCGTTTGTAATTAAGGTTCCATGGTTTCGAGGTTATCTAAACAATCCTATCATTTGACTTTTCCTCTTTTTTTTTATATATATAATATATATTTACTATTTTGTCCTTTTGCATTTGAAACGGCACGTTATCGCAATTGTAATAATAATAATTAAAAAAGAATTAAATTACAAATTGGATCTAATTCTTCAAATAATTCAAAATAAAAAATAAAAAAAGAAAACATCTAAGGAATGGAATTAGTCAGAATCCGCAGGAGCAGTCCAATACAATTTAACGGCAAATAGAAGCTTCTCTCTTTCCAACGGTCCATCTTCATGGTCAACTATTTGACTTTCCCAATTTAAGCCATCTGCTATCCTCTTCACTTTCACCAACAAATCCACGTCAGCTCTTACTATCAAACTCCCTTCGGGCCTCAGTACTCTGTCCATTTCCAGCATTATATCTTCCATCTCACATCTGCAACATTTTCTTTTATTTTTAACTCTAAAAAAATAAATATTTTATTATTAATTAAAATAAGACGTTATTAATTACCTGTCTTTGTACAAAGTAAAAACCGAATCGGCATGAATTAGATCGTATGTCCTAGGATAAGTAGACATGGCCTCACACCTGTATACAAAAAGTCATCGTTATCAAAATCATTAATCATCGGTTTTTAATTGAAATGTGGTGGTTTACGTACCAGCTTTGATATGTTCCAATAAGTCCACGTTCGTAAATTGCACCAAGTGTATCGACTTTGGCTTCAACGGGGACTATGTTCATGACCCATAGAGGATCTTTAACGAGTGAAGCTGCAAAACCGCCTAAAAATGCGTTCATGTCAAGAACGTTACGGTATCTCCCGGGTTGTCCCAATTGATTGTTTACGGTTTTATAGTAGGAAATTCTCTTCTTCCATAACAAGACGTCTTCTTGGAAAGTCTCTGGTGTCACGCCTTCGATGCTTTGACTAATGATTCTAGGAGGAACCATGTCTAATCGCTTTGGCCAATTCGCTATGGCCCCACCGGCAACTTCTTCGCTACTCGAGACTTCTGGCAATCGAGTCAAACATGTTTCTATATCCGTGTACCTATAAGTACTCAATCAAATCAATTATCAGATCATCTCTCGACATAAAATAAGATTGTATGGATACTTATGATAATAAAAAATGACGAACCATGCGGAATCAGGATTTTGAACGGGGCAAAGAGGTGGGTTTTGGGTAATTTTGCGATTTGTTTTACAATTCAAATGGTTGATGGGTTTTTGCCAAATGGAAAGATCACCCTTTTCAACCACTTTTTTCCAGCAAAGACTCTTGGCAACTCTTTCGATTTGCGTTTGTTCTTCATTTAAATCGTCTTCTGTTCTTTCCCATCCTTTCCAATGGTTCCTCCAATTGATGGGCGGGCCAGAAAGGATCCAGTATCCACCGGGTCGAAGAACCCGATCCACTTCAATCAAGTATACTCCATCTATAAAAAATCAAATTGAATTAATAAAAAGTTCCAAATATTTCAAATACGATACTTGAGGGTACGTATGTAAATAAGTTTAAAAAAAATGAGGGGTTGAAATTACCATATTGACCCCAAGGGATGAGACAACGAGAACAATGAGCCATATCAAAAGCTCTAGAAGGGTATGGAAGCCTCTTGGAAGCGATGACTCCGATCAAAGCGGGAACACCACGCTCTAAAGCAAATTGTACTTGAGCTTCATGCGTATCTTTTGGAGCAAAGGACATCGCTATAATGTTTCTCGAAAGCAGATAAGCTCCCCAACTTGCCACCTAATTATTGTTCATTATTAATTATTTCAAATTATAACTAATTCTCACAATATTCAACAAATGAATTAAATAGAAAAGATTTGACATCGTCATATGACTAATCGGTCCCATCTACATCACCCGACTAAATAAAATTTATTCAAATACCATAAAATAAATCATTATTATTTATGGGACGGCAAGATTTTGATTTATTGTAATTTGTTTATAGACGATGGATATCAAATAAATGAATAAATAAAAGGTTGGTCATGTAAACTGTTTTGAATCAAACTACAAACACTTTTTTTTTATTAACCTAGATATCCAACTTGTCATGGGAGTTGATTAATCCCAGGACGACCACCTGCTTTGTAGATAGCCCGGAGTCACTGCATTTGAACCTCTGTGGCCTTAAAGAGATTTTTATTCCTCATTGGATTTAAACCTGGGACCTCCCGGTACTTTTGGCATTTGAAGTCAAACTCAAACTAATCAAATACCATACTTGTTAACTACAAACACTTTATATATACCTAATATGCTCCTACATGCAAATTGTAAAATGCAAATACGTCGACGTTTCTTTTCTTTTTTAAAGAAAAATGTACCAAAATTATCATGAATAACCAACCCATATCCTATTCCAAAAATATATATACACACTATTAATTAATGTATCCTATATATATATCTACTTCCCCTTTTTAATTTAATCTAGTATTAAAACAAAATCCATTTTTAGGAAATTAAATTAAGAAGAATATTCTCTATTTGATCACCTAATTTAATAAAAATTAATTAATTAATTAAAACAGTCGGGTTTGGGTTGACAAAAACACCTTACCCCACAACCCGTATCAATGGCCGTTCGGATCGACCCGTCCTTAAGATTGATGAGCTTTCCAATATCGTCGATATAAGCATCAGCACCGTTCGGAAACATGGTCCCGCCGCCGGGGAATCTAAACCGATCACCCTCGAACCTGATCCAATTCTGGACCGCTTTCTCGACGGTCAGATCTTTGTGTGGTACATTGGCGTACCATGCTAGATCTCTGCTCGTCGGCCATTTAAATGGGTTCTTGTAACCGAACGGCGCCGGCACACGGCATTTAAGGAGCTCGTCTTTCTCTGGGCAATGTCTTTCACGGTATATGAGCCGGTCTCTCGGGAACTTTAAGGATCTTTTTTGGTCCTGGCATGGTGTGTACTCGGAGTACTTGACGGAACACGGTGGGTAGTTTTTGAGGGTGAAGCCGTCGTCTATGGCGGCGGAGTGGTGGGTGGTGAAGTCTAGGTCTTTAGGTGAGTCGGTTGTGGTGTCGCCGACGGTTGAGTTGAAAGGGGTGGAAGTGGAGGTGGTTGCGCAGTTGACGGTGGTGGTGCGGAGGGATGTGACGGTGGAAGTGGTGGCGATGCGGGGTTGCCATGAACCAAATAAGTAGAAGAAAGAACAGAGGAATAAGACAAGACCAACCAAAAAGACGTTTTTTTTTAGGAGATGGGCGGAGGTGGCGGTGGGTTTGGAGGTAGGGGTGTAGTACGGCGTACTCTGTCCCGCCATTGTTAAATTCTCCAATAAGCTTGACACGTTCTTCGGATTTATATAAAACGAAGGTGAGTTTGACTCGTAAGTCGAAAGTGGTGAGTTGAAACTCAGTAATAGAATGAATTACACTAATGGTCCCTGTGATATGCTAAAATTCTGGATTTGATCCCTAAAGTTAATAATCAGGATTAGGGGTGCTTACGGCCCGGTTTGATCGGTTTGGAGTCATTTTAACAACTCAATCCAATGTTGGCGGTTTGAAAATTTTCAACCCAATCCAAACAAAAGTTCAACCCAACTCACCCAACCTGTTCGGGTTGATCGGGTTGTGTTTAAACAATGTAAAATCATATAAAAATAAATGAAACTTTCATTTGAAATACGACCGACCATTCAAGATAATATGCAAGTTTATCAAATATTTAGATATTATAATAAAAATGTTTAAACCAAATGATAATACATCAATCAACAACAATAGTTTTAGACGTTTCCAACCCCGATGCTTTCGCTTTCTTGATGTTGAGGTTGGTCATGTCATGATTGTCATTTACAATTCAAAGCTAAAGTTAAGGTCGGGTTCATCAGGTTGTCGGGTTGGTCGGGTTTTTTTGGGCCTGACCCGATTCCAACCCAATAAGGTCGGGTTGGCTAATTTTTTTATCGATCATGCATCGGGTTACCTCGGGTTGGGTTTTTTTTTTTTTAAATCGGGTTGGGTTGGTCAAGTTCATCGGGTTTTTGAGCACCCCTAATCAGGATCCATATAGTTTATCCAAAGACATATTTATCTCTTTTAACGGTTATTAACTGATAATGTTAACTCTATGGATCATGAATGTTATAAAATTGAAAATTATGGATCATTATTGTAAATAGTTAATTTTAGGAATCAAATCCATAATTTAAACAAGAGAAAATTGTACCAAAATGAAACCAACTTTCATCTAATTCCTATTTTGGGGAATCAACTTTCAAAATCATCATTTTGGTGAACCAACTTGCACCCGATTCCTATTTTGGGGAACCAATTTGCCCTTGATTCCTATTTTGAGGAACCAACTTCTAAAATCGTCATTTTAGGGAACCAACTTGCATGTGATTCTTATTTTGGGGAACCAACTTGCAAAATAATTATAGAAAAATAACTAAAATTTGTTTTTTTTCTAAAAATTAATGCAATAAAATCTATTTTTCATTTCAAATCTCGTTTTTTTTTTAATTCAGATATCAATAAAAACAATTGTTTCTGAATTAAAAAAAACGAGATTTGAAATGAAAAATAGATTTTATTGCATTAATTTTTAGAAAAAAAATGAATTTTAGTTATTTTTCTATAATTATTTTGCACGTTGGTTCCCCAAAATAGGAATCAGGTGCAAATTGTTCTCCAAAATGACGACTTTGAAAGTTGGTTCCTCAAAATAGGAATTAGGTGCAAGTTGATTCCTTGAAATGACGATTTTAAAAGTTGATTCTCCAAAATAAAAATTAGATGAAAATTGGTTTCATTTTAATGAAATTTTCTCTTTAAACAAACCTTGTAAAATAAATGAATTAAATAATATTGGTAATGAATTAAATAATATTGGAAATGGAGAAATGGAGAGTGGACTGGGGAAATCGTGGAGGAATAGATAACAGGCTGTGGGTGGGCTGGGTCGCAAACCATGATTCGGAGTGTTCCAATTTATTAATTTTGATTTCACGATTAATGCAAATAATTTATTCATTAAATATTTTTTCTGAATAAAGTAAATAGATTTATATAATTCTATAAAATTATAAAATCTGAAACCAAACAATGTCATTAATTATAAAATTAATATTGAATACATGCAATTAATATGGGTTGAGATTATGAGGATAACGTGGGGTGCATGAAGAAACAATAGCATAACAACGCAACGACCAACAACATATCTAAATTTTAAATTGGGTTCCGATGAAAATAAAAGTTACGGTGGAAAGTGTAAAAAAAGATCTTTATCATTTGATTGATCTTAATTGAATGTCAACACTGATGAGGTGTACCAAGATTCAATTGATCAATTCTCTGTTTAAACGCAATTCATGAGTTGATATCAAATTGAAGTTCAGATCGTTTCTTACGCTTCTCATAATAACTTCATTTATTATACGTATATATATATATATATATACTTTTCTCTTATTTCTTTCAAAAAAATTACAAAAATAAATAATATAATGCATTTGAAAAGTTTCTATAAAATTAAACACGAATATTAGGGGCATATATCACTCAAAATTGTAACTATGTAGCTTATTGTAATGAGCCGCTGATGACTAAAACGACATCAATCATATCTTGTTTGTTAAATTATGTTTAATTTTATGTATCAAAAAATGCATAAAAATACAAATAACATTGCACTAGGGTTGACTTGCAAATTTTTTGATACATGAATTTAAAAAATAACACCGCGTAAGTTAAAACAATATTTCTCATTAATTATGACGCTTAATTACAACCGTATCTACTATTTGAAAACATTTTCCGTATTGACGGGCTTTTAATGCAATTCCTCTTTGTAATACAATCTATCTATTTACAAATAATAAGATTATACTTAAAATGCCACAAAACGCGTTTACGTGTATCACTGTGTATTAAATGCATGATCGACCATTGAACATACGACACCCAATTTTCAAAGATATTGCAAGAGCGATGTGCGAAAAACTAGAAAAATTAAACTTGTTAAAAATGACCAAAGTGTCACATTATCTATACTATCTTATTAAGCAAATTTATTAAAAATCTTAAAGTCTTAAAATTCTAAATGACCAATATACCCTTTTCACTTTTTCACTTTTTCACCCATTCCTCTCCTCACATACACCCACCCCTTCACATACATTTACCTCTCACATTCAACGTATTTTTTTTTAAATTATAATTTTAAATTTACATTTTATATCCCTATAATTAGTTAATTAATTACTTTACGTCCTTTACTTTTAAATGTTTCATTTTAAACCTTTATCAAATTAACATACATAATCGTATATCAAATAAAACATGTTTAAAAAATACATTTTTATTTTAACAAGTTACACTATTATAATCGTCTCGTTAATACCTTTGAAATGAGTCCAATTTTGAATAGTTTTTGACTTAATTATATTATTATATATATTGTGAAAAAGTATTTTTAATGTTTACGATTTATACTTTTATAGTTATTTATTTATATATATGCTATACATTTTGGGATTAGGCTGTCCAAATTGCATTGTATAATATGTTCTTGGGTTTTTTTGAAATATATATACATGTATTAATTCAACCTTAATCTGAGCTTCTGGACAAGAAAGAGGGTAAGCAGTTGAAATTTCATTCTAAAACTCATATTTTTTTGTCTTTTTATAGCTTATGATCTGTCAAATTTGTAGTTTTCTTTATTGGTTTTGGGTGTTTATCTTAAAACTCAAGTTTTTTTGTTCTTTGCTCTTGGTGTAAATCGAACACATTTGTGGAGTCGTTTAAATATGTTGAATTTTAAATATATTAGATTTTAAACTGTCATACAATTTTTTTCATCGATAGTCTGTAATTAGAACCATAACTCTTATTTATTCAAATTGTATTAATATGTAAAGATCAAGTGTAACATATATCATCGTTAAATCTTGTCTTGTAAAACCAGTGAAACTTCAAAATTGTTAAAATTCATGGCTCCCGCCGCATTGCGCGGGTACACAACTAGTGTATATATGTTTAAACCTTTTTTTATAGCATTTATTTAAATCTAATGAATTTAGCGGTGTGAACATTCAATCTACTGATTTGAATATCAGTTCAATGAATCTTTATGTATAGTACAATCAGAATTCGAATAACTTAATGTTGCCAATTTAACTTTATATCTAATATCATACGACAGTCGTACATGATATCGTTTGTTTTTTTTTCCATATTTAGACACATGGTTTTAAAACACGTCTGATAAAGAAAATATCTATTATTTTATAAGACAACTTTTATCCTTCTTCAACCGATGTGTGACCTTACAATACATATCTAACTAAAATTGAAAAGATGATATGTACGATCAGACTCTCTTTTGTAGTAGTCATATACTTATTTTCTTGTGATCAGTTTTAATAAAATATGTTAACATAAAACTGATTGAGAAGTAAACATTGATTTCTTCTTCAATTAATTTGGACAGTTATCGGAAATTTTGGACTGTGTCCCTGAACTAATAATTACATGTACAATCATCATGGTTTCATTTTTATTATGGATCCCTCTTTCCTAACCCCACTAACCATTGATTAAATATATGCATGTCATATCACACCATTGTTTGTCCATTTATTCGACCAAAATTTGTTTTTCCAATCTAACCACCAATCCGATTCTAATAATTTCAAATGATGGGAAGAAACATAACCAAAGTCTTGTCCATTTTTAATTTATTTTTTTGGGTATGTTTGGTACGTAGAGGGAAATGGAAGGGAAATTAATAGATGAACGAGATTAAGATAGACGAGTGAAAGAATTGTGAGAGTTATTAAGGGGGTGTTTGGGATTGCTTATTTACGATGCTTATTGACTTATTTCAGTCTGGTACCGGCAATAAGTTGATTCTAGTGTTTGGATGAGAGAAAAATAAAACTGTTTATACCGGTGTCAAACCGGTAACAAGCTGTTTTTGATAAGTCAGTCATTGCTAACTTATCAAAATCAACTTATGATCGATTACCATTTTAACCCTGTAATACCCTTTCTATAAGATTTTAATGACATAGGTAGTTTAGTATTTTATTAATTTTGTCTAATATCCTGAATCCCCCCCTCCCTATTTTGGTTTTAAAATATGTACTTTTTGTCTCACTTAGGAGTTGTTTACTAAACACTTACCCACTAAGCCTTATAGATAAAATTCAACACTATCATTTGTTTGTCGAGTAAGATTTTAGTTCAAAAAAACAGCATCATATGTAATAATATACCCGGTAAGCACTAACCTTAGTAAAAGCTGTGGCTTTCAATTACTGGGTGAGACGCTTGGTCATTGTCTCGCTTTTATAGGGTTGAATTTTTGGTATTTACCATATTCATCTAGTAAGGTGATGTGACTTGGTAACTGCTTACCCAGTAAGCGCTTACGAAGTCATATTACCTTACCGATGAACATGGCAAGAATCAAAATTTACCCGGTAAAAGCAATGATAAGGCTCAAGAGTCTTACTCGTAAGTGAGGGTGACAACTCTTATCCAGTTAGCACTTACCGGATAAATTAAATACGATGCGCTTTAATGGACTATAATCTTATCAAAGTTAAAAAAGGCGTGAGGTGGGCGTGGCATGGCGGCGAGGTCAAGCCTCAAGCCTTACACGTTATGACGAGGACGCGACGTTTTTCAAGACGTGACATAAGATGACAAATTTGTATCTCGTATATAAAAATTATATATATATATATATGTTTTATGTATATTATCAAATCAGATAATGATATTACAAAAATGTAAATTCATATTATAAGAAGAAAAATCTTATTGATTATTATTATAAAAATATGTTTTTTATTAAATATTTAAAATAAAACTTAGAAATGTAATTTTATAGCTTCATTTTAACTATGAGTCTGTAATGTTTATTAATTTGAGAAACTGTTAATGATGTGATTAGTTAGATCTATAAAAATGTAAAATCTAAAGTTAAGAATGTAAAAACACAAAAGACAAAAAATAGAAAAAATAAGAAAATATTCTTTTTGGAAAAAAAATCACGTCTTACAAAAAGCGTGCACATCACGACGCCATGGCGTGAGCCAAGCCTTACAGAAACTCTACGAGAAATTTCGTAACGATGTAGACGCATCTTGCGCATGGTGCACCTTATTGACACTTAATTTTATCCGTTAAGGTAAGTAATAAAGTTGATTCTTATCATTGAGCGCTTACCGGGTAAATATATGGGTAAACGACCCCTAACTCATTGTTTATCCAATCTCGACACGCGTATCAAACACATGTTTAGCAGTTTCATCTGTTCTTCCTAGCAAACCGATGCCCATCATTTCTTTCACCGATTAGGCTGGTCCGGTAGGGATCAATTACATTTTTTTTATGAAATTTGCCTATCCCGAGACCAGTTATACATAGGATTGATTTTTTTAATTAATACTTTTAAGATTTTCAAGTGTTTTTAACAAAAACTTCAAATATTCTTATAAAGGTGCGTTCGGTATGCAGACTGGGTGGGACGGGACGAGACAAAAATAAATAGTCTCATGTTTGGTGTGTCATTGGACAAAAATGAGATGGAATAACATAGGACAAAAATAAGATTGAGTGAGACTATTCTTGAGTTTTTTTGTTCCATCAAAAAAAGTAAAACAATGTGAGACTAAATTTGAGATTACAATATTGCCCTTATTATTTGATATCAAAATACAAATCTAATTTAATTGCATCCTCTTTCTTCTCTTCCACAACCTCCATTCTCAATTCCACCCTCCATTTTTGAAATGTTAAAACTTTTGACGACGACGTGACAAATGCTATTTACAATTGTTGTGTTTAAACTTTTTAAATTACGTGCGTATTTAAAATTTATGGTATGACAAATGTTATTTACATGTGGTCTTGGAATGTTAAAAAAAGTATTGATATCATAGATCAAATAATTTAAATATATCTTTGGTTGATTTGTTGCCATTCACAATTATATGATATAAAATAAAATTTGAACAATATTTAGGGGTAATATGGTTATTTTAACAGTTTTGTCATGTCCTGTCCTAGTCGTACCAAACATATGACAGACAATTAGTCATGTCCTGCCATGTCCCGTCCCGTTCTGTTATGTCTCATTCAGTATGCGTACCAAACACTACCTTAAGTGTCCAAAATACTAAATTTCACAAATCGTAATTATAGAAACATTTGTAACATTTTTATGTGAAGTTATTTTTTACAAAAAAGATTCAAAGTGTAATTCAATGATTTCAAATAAAATAAGTATTATCTATTTTTGATTAATTATATTTTTGGTTTGTTGCTTAATAATTTTTTTTATCTGAACGTGTTTGATACGTAGATGGAACTGAATAAGAAATGATTAAACAAGCAATAGATAGATTGTTGTGTGAAAAAAAACTGTGAAATGCACGTTTAAGTTTGATATAGGTAGATTACTAATAACAATTTTGTGCAATCGATTTTTGTTTCATTTTTTGGTAAGATAAAAAAAATGCATTTTTGTCTCACGCAGTCACTATATTGTCCCAATCTGTTATTTTTTGGATGGCCCATAGATGAAAAGGTTTCGGGCCTTGGGCCCGAATCTTGATTATGAGAAACATGCTATTAATTTTTTTTCTTCCAGAAATTGTTTGATTTATAGTTTTACATTATATTATAAAGCATCTATAAAAAAACTCTTTAAAATTATTATTTATATTTTAAGTATTTTTTGATGCATATTACTTAAATTTCAAGATTACAAGTAGATTATACGTAAGTACAACTTATTAAAGTTTCATTTTGAATTTGTGTAACTAACTATATATAAACATAATCAAATATAAGATAAATATCTCAATTTAAATATAAAAAACTAAAATATATTATGATAATTATTGAGTTATAACAAAATAATTAATTATTATATTTATAAAAAATTATATTAATAAACCAAAAAAAAATTTATTTTGTTATTAAATTTAAATTAAATTGTAATAAAAAAATTGAATTAAATAAATTACCAAAAAAAAAAAACTTTTTAATATTCAATTTGATACTAATTTTGATATATGTTTTTTTAATATTTTTATAATATCTTCAAACTTATATTTTACTTAAAAATAAAAAATTATTGTTTTCTCAAAACTACATAAAATCTTGTTACATTATATGAGTACCCTTATAGTATTTAAATATAAAAAAACTACTTTTAGAAAGTCTTTATAATTGTTGAATTCATTCAAAATATTAAATTATTAGTTCAAAATTATTAAATCATTAATTTTTAAAAGTTAATAAACAATAATGAAAAAAATTAGCAATCTACTCTCACCTTCACCCATTATATCTATTTAACTTAGTAAAATCTTAAGAGATATATGGAATTAAAAGTTTCGATGAGAATAAAAGTTATGATAAACTTGATAAAAAGAGATTTTTCATTGATAAATCAATCCTAATTGAAATCAATACTAATGAGATGCACCAATTCTCATGATAAATGTGATTCATAAGATGGAGGTAGGATTAAAAGTGACCAAGGGTTCAATTTTTTTTCTTACCTTTCTTATTAACTCATATTCTCATACGATTATTAATCTATTTGTTTGTGTATGTGTGTATATATATAGACGCATAATATTTATAAATCAATAAATCGTATAAATTTGTAAAACAATTTTATATGTTATTTTACGTATGAAACATATATGAATATGTAATGTTTATATAATGTTGTTTAATAACTGAAACGTTTAAGATTGTTTTGTATGTAGAAAAAATGGGTCATGAACTTTTTATAATAAATTTTTACAAATAAATGGTTTTTGTAAGTTAAATGGGTGGTTCTTATTTACTTTGAGAATGAGAACGAGATAAAAGACAAATCATAAAAGGGGAGACGAAAGGGTCGATCCAAAACGTTTAAAGGAGGAGACCCATGTCGTTAACCATAGTCAACAGCGGCTTACGGATCCTTTTGACGTCGCCTTTCAAATCACTTTCCTCTTCTTCCCTTTCTACTAAACTCCAATCCTCATTGGTTGCTCAAGCGCATGTACTTCACTGGCTGTTCTTCATCTTCACCCATCAATATCTTCAAAGGTAAACTCGTTTACTTCATCATTTTCTTCAATTCTACAACAAGACTCGCGGAATCAGCACAACTGCAATTGGGTTCTTGATTTCTGTATAGATTTCTTGAAAACCCACTTTCTAGCTGTTGTTATTTGGTGACATTTGTTATCTATTAGCAATTGTAAGTTCTTGATGTTATATATCTTTCGTTCTGTTCCATCTTTTTTGACTCCTTTTTCAGTCGTACTTTGATGTTTTAAACTATTATGTAGGGTGTCAAACCCAAAAACTAATCGGATCATAAATAAACCCAATTGTGAGAGGAATTTGTGTTATTAGGAATGGATTTGCAGGCTAAATATCTTTCTGGGTTCTCGTTTGATCTTTAAATTTTAATGTTGAAATGCTTATTATGGTACAATTACAGAAAAACCCTAGTCATGTTCACAGAGTTACTATATTCAAATATTCATCATGTGTTTGGGCTATTCCCTTGAAATGGAAATTTTACAATTCATATTTGAATCAAATATACAAATAATATCGAAAAGCTATAGATTACAATGTGGCTTACAAGTAATGAATTCTCTGAATCCCTTAAGACTGACTTGGAGTCCCTTATCATCAATACGATTCAAGCGGGTAGATGTATATATAGGAATATGGGTTGGGTTCCTGTGAGAATGGAGGTTATGGTGAGAAAAGTAAGAAGGGATCTCCATCCTTGGATCAATTCTAATTGAAGAGAACCACTAGATCAACACTAATGAGATACATTGGATCCCTTCCCTTTTAAAGCGTAATTCATGGGTTGTTTTGATAATTTGTATACATTCTTCTTTCGGGGTCCTTAACATGTTCATCCAACATATGTAGGGGAAGCCAGCATGTGTGCATTTGGTGGATAAGCAGAAATTTGTTGAATTTCTATAGCTTTTATTGATCATTACATCCAGATCCATGAGTAGAGACGTAGATGTGCATGAGCATTATCTAAATGGCACGTTGCCAGCTGATATTGCTGAGAATTTGAATGACTTTTTACCAGAAGAGGAAGGCCTTTGTTATGAAGAGGTTATCTTGCAACAGGTAATTCTAAACTAAGATTACACCCTTTTCAGTTCTAGCAAATGGGGCTTGATCAAATTTCAGGAAAATGGTTAATGGACTTTATCTTGACAAATTTTCCTCTGTATGCAACAGGCAAGTGTCTATGAATCAATTCAAGAATATGGAAGGAACAGGGTTGTGGCTTCCGATGATCATCCAAGCAGAGACTCAAGTGTTTCTTCAGAGGATGAGGGTGAGGCCTCGAGGAATGAAAGTGTTATTTCACAAGAAGCTATGGATGAAGCTTTAGCCAGATCCTTGCAGGAGTTGGGGGAGGATTTCGATGAGTTTTTCATAACCCAATTCAGTGGCAATGCAAACAGTTAGTTTTTTCATAAAGCTACTTCTAAAACATTTAATGGTCACTTTATTTAAAGATGCATGACTTTGATTTGCAGTTGATGATATAAAGATGTTATCTTTATGAAACAAGGCTCATATAAACTATAACCGTTAGATGGATTTTTCGATTTGGAAGTACTAGCAATAACAACAATGACATCAAAATAATATTTCTTGCAATCTGAATTCCTTCTTATCTATCTCAAATTCTGAAAATAGAATTCTTGAACTTGTGCTCTTGCAGGTATCACAGAAAGTCCTGTAGCAACTCCTACGGTATCCAAACTTTTTATTTCTTGTTAAAGCGTTATCTCACGTTCTTAACCTATTCCGTAAAGCTCATCAAGTTCTATGTTCAAATGGCTAGGAACAGGCTCCTAGTTCAGATTTGAGGCAAGATGATATTGATCCTGATAATATGCAATATGAGGTACATGGACCAACAGTTCAAAATTTCATTGATTTTTAGATCTTTGTGATTTGAGATTGATTCTGTAAATTTGTGTTGTTTTCTTGTGTAGGAATTAGTAAACCTCACTGAATCTGTTGGTGTCGAAAACAGAGGACTATCAGAATCCCATATTTCCAGGTTACCAACCTCCATTTACACATCAAGAATGTTCTCAAAGAACAAGGAAGAAAAGTAAGAATTTTTCTTTTAAAATCTTTTTGACACATCAAGAACTGGCTCTTGGACTTTTTCTTTTAAAGATCATGCGCTAAATCTGTTGTCTTGTAATCTTTTGACGTCACCTTTCCAAAGACCGGAAGTACCCTTCGGATGGTTTTTTGCTGAATGTTTATATCAAACATGACCTATAATTTCAAGAAATCGATTCTGATCTGTAAATCTGATTGCTGCTAGATTGTGCGTGGTGTGTCAAGAGAATTTCAAGTTCGGGAAACGCCTGATCACGTTGCCTTGTTCTCACCAGTATCATAGTGAGTGTATCATCGACTGGCTCAAGATCAAGAAGGTAACATTTGTGTCGATTAACAGTATACATCTCTTCAAGTTCTCATAAACCTCTTCACCTTTGCCTTTAATGGAAGCTTTTGAATCTTTTTCAGATATGCCCTATGTGTCAAAAAGAGGTCATTTGAGTCTTCCAAGTTTGAAGCATTCAGATGGAAGGATAAAAGCCAGCAAAAAAATGTGGTAATTTATGTTTTCAATATGGTGTTTCTTGAATTCATTTTCTCCTTTTTCTGTAAATCAAGTACTACAGGATAAAGCCATTTGGGTATAAATGGATGGGGGTCTTTTAAAATGACTTCAAAGTTATGGATTCGAACCGTGTACTTGTTTCCGAGCTGTTTAATGATATCAGGGATGGTCTGAAAAAAGTTGTTACAGTTTTGTCGAGTCTCGTATAGAATACTGCAACTTGCAGGCTTCTACCCGTTTAACTTCGTTGAATTCGAATTTATCATCGAAAAAGTAAGCAAATTATTGATTCTTTTGGTTTAATTTACAAGCCAGCACCACGACCATCAAGTTGGTATTTATTATTTAAAAATATAATTAAAAAAATTAAATAATCATTTAATTTCCCTTTTTTAGTATGGTGATATCTTATATTTTTGTTCCTTAATTAATTCATAATACTTACTTAAGACATGTTTTCGTTTATGATTCAGACAACTTCTAAATATAGATAGTATGATTGCTGTTTGCATATATAATTAAAAACTAATAACCACATGATAATGTTTTTATTTATTAAATAAAAGGCAAAAGTCTTTTGCAACCTTTTAATGTCAATAAAGGGATTTTCTTTTAATGGCAAATTGATCCACTCTCGGGATCCCAACGTCCACGCTGGTACACAGTTAATTCCCGACTCTGATACCATCTGTAACTTTCCAGACCAACTGTAGTAGATTTTGTCTGTTTTATCCACATTTAGCCTCACGGATTTAAAACGCGTTAGAGGAGGTGTACAGTTCCTTATAAGACAACATTTGTTGCATTCCCTACTGATGTGGGATCTTATATTTTGACCTTTTCGTTGAAGTGTGAATTAGATTGTTGAAAAAGAGTACCCTATAAGTTTCACATGATTCATGTGCTTGCTTTTTAAAATAAAAACATACCGGAAAAGGACAACATTTGATTGATAATAATCAATTAAGAATAAAATAGTTTATTTTACAGTAGCAGATGTTCAACCGATAACGACAATATTACAATCACATTTATTGCTTTGGTGGGAGATATCGTGTTTGAAGTTGGTGTGATATGTCAACTAACATTCAATTATTATACTCTATCATAAAATCAAAACCAGAATCATTTCAAGTTTAAAATTTCAAATCTGACCATCGTGACTATATTCTAGATGCATTAATGTTAAAATAAACCTTCATCAACCTGTGAAAATGTGAAATTTTGAATAGGGTCTCCAAAATTTTGGGGCCCAATTTTACATATGTTTAGGGCATTTTCATCAACCTGTGAAAATCTATACCCCAAACTGTTTAGATTCAAATTGTTAATTGTTTAGATTTAGATAAAAATTATTAATGGTTTAGATTTAGGTTACGTTCAGATTGTCGATCGTTTAAGATTAGCGTCTTTCTGTTGTTAACATATATGTATGATGTTATCTCTTATGCAATGCCATCAAAAGTTATGATGCAGCAGAGCCTCCAAAAGATTGAAACGAACCTGTTGGAGATGCACAAATATACGATTTAAAATTTAGGACCATCTTATCCCCGGGTCGAAAATTACAGGATAAGATGAGGACCAAGCTCAAGACAAGTATATACCCAAATAATCAATTAATACCATTTTTTGGAAAAAAACCGGTTCCGTACGTCCTGTTGGACATTTATAAAACCTAATTGAACTACAATTTTATATATATTAATTTTTTTTATTTCGACAATAAATAGCAGCAACTAGCGGTAGATAACATCGGCGGTGAGCAACGAGCAGCTCGGAATCTTGATGGTGGAGAGACATGACATGAATTACCAATGGATTAAGTCGTCGGGAAGTAGTATTAATTAATCTGGATTAACGTGGTAAGGTAATCAATTAATATGGGATATGATAGTGGATGTATATATAATTAATTAATTAAGATTGCACTAAATGGTAAATAAATGACAACTAAGATTAGGGGTGAGCAGCGGAACCGGGTACCCGGTTACGGAACCGGAACCGCCTTGGAACCGCCGGTTCCGGAACCGAAACCGATATGAGTGGTTCCGGTTCCGGTTCCTAAAATACGGAACCGATTGAGAACGGTTCCGGTTCCGGTTCTCAATTTTTCGGAACCGTTACCCGCCGGGTACCCGGTATTTTCCAATAAAAAAATTATTATTATTTTTTTTATACCAAATTTATATTAGGTTTACATCTTGAAAGCATGTCGTCATCTTCATTCTTCATCTAAATTATTCATGTAAAATGATTCGTATTTTTTCAAATTGTGTATTCACTTGGATTCATAGTATGTAATCGTTAAACTTTGAACATTTACCATTATAGTATGTAATCGTTAAACTTTGAACATTTTCTATTAGTCTATTATGGTTTGTAATCGTTAAACAATATTTGTAACCATTATTCTATATAATTTGTATTCTTGCTTATTTATTTAGTGTTTTGGCAATGTTTTATTTTTTATTTCTAAATAACAAAATTTTAATATTTTAGGAAGCGGGTACCCGGAACCGGAACCGGTTCCCGGCGGTTCCGGTTCCGGTTCCAAAAATTTAAGAACCGCTCTAACCGGTTCCGGTTCCGGTTCCAATATCTCAAGAACCGCCGGTTCCGGTTCCGGTTCCGGTTCCTGTCAAAAAGGGCGGGTACCCGCCTATGCTCACCCCTAACTAAGATGGTGTTGACAGACAAAGCAACATGCAGTCCCGCTATGTATCCATCAACCGTACCCCACTTCACCAAGTTCCATCAATGACTTTCTTTTTTAGAAACGTGATTTCCAGATTTATTTATTTTATATTAAATTTATAATAATTAATGCCAAGAAAATAAGTAATTTACCATGATATTATATATATACATATATATATGTATGTATGTATAATATGTGTGTGTGTGTGTGTGAAATGTTAGATAAAGACGTACATAGATAGGTGCAACATATGCAGGAATCTTAAGTCTACGGTTCCAATGATTCAATTCCACAAAAAACACACAAACTACTTTTCATGTCCAACATAAATATGTGTCCTTGTCGCCTTCTTTGCCTTAATCTTATGAATGTGGATTTAACCATTATCTTTCTTTTTTACTATATAGTATAATATTTATATATACACTCGATATTCGGTATATTTAAAATCTATCAAATAAAATTTGATTTTGAAAATGAAATTGTTAAAGGAACTGGAATCCTTGAGATACAAAAGGAATTGAAATTTGATCAAAGAAAATTGTCCATTTTTATTCTTTTGAAATCATTTGAATTCAATGAATCAGATAGTTCCTTTTGGTTGCGTTTGGTACATGAGACGGGATAGAACAGGACGAGACAAAACTCGCTGTCCCATGTTTGGCACAACATGGGACAGAACAAGAACTCACTGTCCCACATAAGGCGCGACATGGGATAGGGACAAAAACTTGGACAACATGAGACAAAAGAAGTTTTTTCTTATTCCACCAAAATAGGTGGAACAAGATGAGATAAAAATAAGACAGTAACTAAAATATTACTAATCTACCCTAGTTTGATATATAACCTTAATATGATATTTGTTTTAATGACCATCACCGCTAGTTTCTGGCGGCCACCTCCACCTTCACTACAACATCCTCCACCGCCTACACAATCACCGTCCACCAAGTCCATTACCACCTCTATCATAGTCGACCACCTACCACCACCGTCCATTGCCACCATCACTACCGACGTTTGCCACCTTCAACTCCTCCTCTACTGCAACAACCTCCTCCACGACCTTCACGACCACCATTCATTGCCACCTCACCTCAGACATAACCACCACCACCACCACTATCTTCACTATGTCAACCATAACTACCTCCTCCACCGTCGTCAACCGCCACCACCACCACAATCTACCATCTTCATGTCTTCTATAACCACCGTCGTCCACCAAACACCACTACCTCTACCTCCATAACCACTGTTGGCCACCGACCACCACCGCCTGTTGCCACCACCAACACCACTACTACCATCAATTATATCAAATTTTTTATTCAAATTTGATATAATATATGGAAAATATGTACAAAAATTTATAAATTAAATTATTAAATTATTTACTTTATTTGTGTTAATTATAACTATTATATAATATTTAAAATCATCAAATAACTTTTGGAGGTAGTTTGTCTTGTTCTGTCTCGTCCAGTCCTAGTCGTACCAAACATGAAACACCAGACATACTCCTATTATGTCCAGTCCAATCCTACCCTCTTGTTCTGTCATGTCCAATTATGTCTGCGTACCAAACACTACCTTTAAGTTTTTTAAAAATTGGTTCTATCAGTAATCGAAATAGACCCTTGGATTAAATCAGGTGTCCGGAATGATAAGCTATAAACAGAAACATCTACCGGTGTGAGTAAAACACAATGAATATTAACATTTGGAGATATGGTCTAAGATACCAGATGATATGAACAACATACGATCAAAAATTAAATATTGAGATTTTTTGATTTTATCACAATATTAAAATAATAAAAACAAATAATATAATAAGAATGCGTGATCCACATTGGCCAACAATGTCTCCGGCCACACCTCACCCTTCTATAATCTTTCACACACATTTTTCTTTCTTCTCATCTCCTCTTCTTCAATTCTTTTCTTCATCTCTACAAAAATATCGACTATTAGTATCACGTTGTTAATCACTGGTTGGTTTATTTCCATCAATGGGTTCTGGGTTTTCCGCTGCCAATAACGACGGATCTCCGACGACGACCAGTAAACAACGGCCGGCGGGTCTTGGAGACTTACCGGAAAACTGTCTAGCTATGGTTCTCGCATGCTTAGACCCACCGGATATCTGTAACTTGGCTCGCACGAATCGGGCTTTTTACCGTGCATCGTCTGCTGATTTCATATGGGAACCAAAGTTGCCGGAAAACTACCGGAATCTTGCCGAGAAACTTATATTCTATGAAGGGAGCTCCCTAAGTTTGGGGAAGAAAGACATTTATGCTGGATTGTGTTGTCCCATTCGCTTTTCCAGTGGTACCAAGGTATATATAGGAGATTTAATATAATTACAATTACCTTCTTTATTTACTGTTAGCTAGAAATGTCCGGCATTAATGGAGGTTGGCCGGTGATGCAGGAAGTATGGATGGAGAAAAGAAGAGGAGGGATATGCATGGTGGCTTCTTGGAAGGGGATGAAGATAACAGGCATAGATGATCGAAGATACTGGACCCACATCCCTACCCTCCAATCAAGGTTTCATTTTTTTCGTATCCACGTTCAATCTACAATAACACTTGAATCGTCTTGATATTGTATGTAAATAACAACACGATTATCATCGACTAAAAATCCATATTATCCGTAACGGTTTCAAGTCGATAAATGAATTTTAGCAGGTACTTTGGTGGTTTATACGTAACAAAGCTTTGGATCTTTCTCATGATTTTTATGAAGTTTGCTATCGATTCAAAGATCATTTTGACAGGGGAAAATTGCATCAAAATAAAACCAACTTTCATTTAATTCTTATTTTGAGAAACCAACTTTAAAAATTATCGTTTAAGGGATCTCTATCAAACTTTTTGTTTATTTAAGGGTATCGAGACATGCTGACCTGTTAATGCTAACATCATTCAGATTTTTTGCTAACTAAGATATTCCACGTCATATTAATTTTTTGTTTTAAAACTAATATTACATGTCATATTTAAAGTTGCAAAATAATTATAGATAAATAACTAAAATTCATTTTTTTTTCCAAAAATTATTGTAATAAAATCTATTTTTCATTCAAAATCTCGTTTTTTTAAAAAAAAAAATCAGATATCAAATTGAGGATTTTTTCAAAAATGGACTTCTTACTCACAATTTGATATCTGAATTTTTTTTTTAAAATGAGATTTGGAATGAAAAATAGATTTTATTACAATAATTTTTGAAAAAAAAAAGAATTTTAGTTATTTTTCTATAATTATTTTACAATTTTAAATATGACGTGGAATATTAGTTTTAAAATAAAAAATTAATATGACGTGGAATATCTTAATTGGCAAAAAGATCTAAATGACGTCAATATTAACATGTCAACTAGACCCTTAAATAAACAAAAAATTTGATAAAAATTCTTAAATAACAATTTTGATAGTTGATTCCTCAAAATATAAATCACGTCAAAATTGATTCCATTTTAATGTAATTTTTTTTACTTCTGTATTTTCTGTTAATTTTTGACAACTTGCTCCCATCTCAATGAATCGATATGGAAAATCTTCTTAAAGTCAACAATGCATTTATTTATTTAAATAAATGTTTTTTATAATTTTTTTAATATTTTTAATTAAATTCAGGATAAAAGAATTTCAACCATTTTATATTTAATCTCACATTTTGTACGTCGTTTGCCCCAAGTTATTTCTAGTTCATTTATTCCAAAAGGATGCCTACACTCAACGCTTTACCTTTCGTCTAAGATATTGAAATATTATTTAATTTAATACATCATTATCTTTCGATATTAATTTATTTTATATCTTATTATTATTTTATTTATATTTCATGGTTAAAATATAGGTTCCATGCGATTGCGTATCTTCAACAAATATGGTGGTTAGAGGTTGAAGGAGACTTGGAATTTGAATTTCCGGCAGGGACTTATAGCTTTTACTTCCGTCTACAACTCGGGAGGCCATCCAAAGGAAAAAACCAGCAATGCTCAGCTACTAGTAGTAGTCGGTATGTCCATGGTTGGAACATCAAACCAGTTCGATTTCAGTTTTCAGTATCTGATGGTCAACATGCGACATCAGAACGTTTTTTAAATGAGCAAGGAAAATGGCTACGCTATCATGTTGGGGATTTTGTGATTGAGGACTCGTATAAACCTGTGAAAATCAAGTATTCGATGACACAAATCGACTGTACTCACCAAAAAGGTGGTTTGGCGTTAGACTCAGTGTTGATATGTCGCAATCAAATTGAAACAAGACGTTGACACGATGTAAATATTTGTTAGGTTAATTTGTGAGCAATTTTTTTTTTTTTTTGTTGATTGATAAATAAGACTATCAATAAACAATTATGAATTTTTTAAACGATATCAGATATCATATTTTGACCAGGTCCATCACAAAAGCATGGTATGAACGTTGTTGCTAGGAGTGAATAATATACATTTTTAAAATATTATATATTAATTCTTTTGTAACTAATTATCGTATTTACCTAAATACTAAAATACATCAGTATTTTTTTACACTTTTCAGTAATTGTTGAGCAAGAAAATTGCCATATGACGATTAATTTTTCTATTCTCGTATAATTTAATGAAACTACAGTTATGGTATTTATAATACTAGAGAGATGTTCAAACGAGACAATTAAGATAAAAAAACACGAAGGTCAACGCAAAGTTGCATGCGCGACTCAACAATGTAAAAGTGTCGGCTGAATGTAAATCACATGTGATTTTTAGTCTGAAAATCACATGTGATATAAACATTCTCATTATTTCTTATTTGATCATGTTCTCAGTTGAATAAACCCTAAAATAATAACTCCTTATTTCTACATCAAGAAAAATAACAATATTTTTCGTGAGGTTGGTTCCGGTGAGAATGGAAGTCACGGTGAGAAGGGTAATATTGGATCTCCATCATTGGATCAATCTTAATTGAAGATCAACAGTAATGAGATGCACCGGATCGATTATGTTTCAAACGCAATTCATGGGGTGGGGTAAGATTAAAAGTGATCAATAGTTCAATTCTTTTATTACATTTTTCATCTTGACTCTTATTCTCATACGATTTTTCATTTTTTTTTTTGTGATAACGTTAATTATAACCACAAATTTTTCAAGACTATAAGAAATTGGACGATAATTAAATGAGAACCACAAAAAGACTACAAAACTATGAGAACTTTTTAATATGATGTTTTTCATCAAAAACTATAATTTAATATATTGTTTCACGTATGTTTGTGTTCACCTTGTGAAAAAATAACATGTGATTTTTTTTGTTTACTTAGTAAAACGAAAAATATACGTAAAAAAATATTCACATGATGAAACAAATATTTTTGAAACTATCAAACAAATATATAGGAAACAAATATCTTAAATTCTAACATTTAAATGAAAAAACCATATAAATAATTACTTTTAAACCAGTTCTTACAGGTTTATAAACTTTTTATGGTTTTTATTTGATTTAGTCCATAAAGAATTATTAGATCAAACAAAATCTATAAACCAAATCGTTTCTAATGGACTTTTTATGGACCAAACTTTACTCAACGAAAATAAATATTTAATAATGTAAATAAGTAAAATTAACAAAAACATTTAATGAATATCAAGGTTTTAAATAGCGTGAGGTATGACGTGGTGATGTCAAGGCTCAAATCTTATGAGTCACGTCGTTTTCATTACGTTTTTTTAAGGCGTGAATTAAGTGAACTATGTATACATCATATATATATATATATATATATATATATATATATATATATATATATGAGATGATTCAATTGGGAACATGAGAGTACATCTTGATCCTTCATTCAGTTTAATCGACGTATAAGACTAGTGGTGGTAGTAAGAAAACAAATCATAAATCAATGACATTTTTCGTCAAATTTGAACATATTTCAAATTACGATTTAAAAAAATGTTATTTTTAAAACTAAAATTAATTACCTAACTGTTTTTAAATTTAAAAATTACAAATATAGTCATAATTAGAATTAAACAAAGGTACTAAAAATTCCACATCTTTTTTATCTGGTTTTTAACCGGTTTTGTTATTGCCATTATATGGTGTTTCATATGTAAAAATGTATTACAAACAAGAACCAAGCAGGTGAAAAGTAAATTTAACAATCAAAAATCCGGCAAACTTCCAACTTAATAAATTAAAGACGGTCAATAAAAAGATTGCATAAAAAATGCTTGATGCTTAATTTAACTTATAATTTGGAAGACTTTTATTAAGACATAAATTAATTAAAGAAGATCATCCAAAAATAACCCAAATCCCCAACCAGTTACTTCTAGCCTAGTTTTTATTTTTTGTTTCAATTTAGCTAATACATCGTAAATGGGCTTCCCAAATATACAATTTATTTGTAGGCAGGAAAAATAAGTTAACTTATTTTTTTGAATGCACGTAAATTAATTTATAAGTTGGCTTATTGAAACGCTTCTTGGTAGTGTTTTGGTTATATTGTCACTTTTTTTTAATTATAATCCTCATTAATATTAATTGTTATTTTTTAGTACTAACTATAAATAAATATCAATAAAATTTGAATATTAGTAATATTAATTATTAATTAATATAAA